TCTTTTGTTAAAATGGGATAATAGTGTCTTTTTCTATTTTTTTAAGTGTGAACGCATGTATAATCCTTGGCCAAATTGGTTTCCTATTTTCTTGGATCATCACCGTTGCAATTTGGAGCCGCGATTTCTTCATCATTGATTGAGTGTTCGCCCATGCAAACTAATCAGTATTTTTTATTTTTTTTTCGCTTGTTCTTTTGAGTATAATATTGTCTATATTTGGATTGTCGTGTATATGTATAAATGCCTGGGTAGTACGATTGTGCATTCGTGTGTGCTGATTGTGCAACCTAGTGTTGTAAGTTGTGCACTATAGGCTAGGGAGTTGTGCATTATAGCACATAGTTCAATGCATCGTAGAACATTGGATGTTCACTGTATGATTTTTTGGCGGGGTTTGAATGCACAACAATGAAGTTATTGATGCACAACACTCAGTATAGGAATGCACAACATTTTATATAGGAATGCACATCTTTTAATAAGACTGATTTACCCTAAATTTATATATTTTAATATTTTAAAGGGATTTGTTTTCTTAATCCGTGTGATTTGTTTCTTTTAATCTCAATCATACATCATTCTGATTTAATGGTCTAGATTAGTCCTCACGTCCTCACCTAAGATTAGGTCCTCACCTGATCCGGACCCTATATATATATATATATATATATATATATATATATATATATATATATATATATATATATATATATATATATATATATGGGAAAAAGAATAATATTATATTAGAAAATTTAGAATTTATGCATAGTGCATATATTTTTTTTGAAGGTCAACCAATGTGGTTGTATTTATAGATAAACTGAAATAGAGTCTGATGGGACATCGTCCCAGTACATAGCTGTAGTCGAATTTAAAGCTAAAGTAGCTAAAGTATGTGCTAATAAATTATGTAGTCTAGGAACAAAATTAACTGAGCAAAAACTAAAAGTAGACATAAAATTCATGCAACTATCGATAGCATATCCAACATATGACCTGGACGGGGTATTCGGTGCACATAGGTAGCGTTGTAGCGTCTGGCAGTCAGTATGTAGTCGTATTGAATCTTCGCCACGTCCTCTTAACCATGATAAAACCTCTTTACACGCGTATGCATAGTGCATATATAAATTACAGGGAATTTATAAAACTAATCAAATGTTAATAATAATAATAATAATAATAATAATAATAATAATAATAATAATAATTTTAAAGTCAGAATTATATATTAGGTATTAGGGTATAATATATATATATATATATATATATATATATATATATATATATATAAACAAAATTATCCTATTTCATTTTACCGTCCAAACTTTTGTAGTAAAATTTATTTCATAAGTAAATGTCAAATGGAAATTAAATAAAATATATTAATGGGTAATATTGCATAATTGGTAATATTATATATGGTATTATATTTCATAATATAATTGATAATATTATTGTTCAAGTATAATAAAAACCCTATGTAATGTAATAATGTAATAATAATAGAATAAAATTAAAATTAAAATTAAAATTAAAATAATAACAACAACAACAACAATAATAATAATAATCCAAACAAAACTATATACAAAATAAAAATAAAAATAAAAATTTTAAAAAATAAGAAGAAAGACAAATGTGGCTCCCCTTTCTAAATGACGTGTGATCATTTTAATCTCACATTGAAAATGTTTGGTTAGAAGAGCTCTTGAGCTCCTCTATATAAGGGGAGCATTGCTCTTCTTACAAACATATAATTGTTTGCCCATCAATATGGGCAAGTATTGAGAAGTCTAAAGGGTTTTTTTTTTTTTTTTTTTTTGAGTACTATTGACTCGACAAATTATGCTGTGGAACAGTGTTCACCTTGCAAGGTAGACTGATTCAAAAATTGTTCATTTGCATAATTTATGAAAATACTAAACAATGATAAATAAAATCTTCAAAGTTATAGCACTGCATGCGTACATCTAGACATTAGCTACTCCTTATTAATTTGAACAATTATTTGCACAAATTCAAGCAATGATTACATCAAAATATATAAACGATCCAAACCATATCTTTAATTGCACTATATAATATTTGATGTTCTAATTTAAATAATTATATATCGATTCATATATTCTTAATATATTACAACAAAGTCATTCCGTGTATCGCAGCGATCCAAACTTTTACAATCGCATTCAGTCAGTGGCCCACTGCTCTCCAAAGAGATCTGATTCATTCATTCGGACATGAAAATTGACAACCCTACTTTCGCTTCAGCTTCATAATGTTCTCCAAATATGATGAAGTGCAGGGTAAATAATATTGAAGGCCATGTGAGAAGGTAATGGATGGATACCTAATTGTGTTGGTGAGAAGTCAGTGAACATTGAATACACAAAGAAAGCAAGTGTGGATTTGTGAAGGGGGCCATGGTGCCCTATAGACAGCTCTCTTTAGGGGAACCAGACACCAATGTACTATTTACTAAACCACCAAATTCTCCCTCTGCCCAACACCACCCATTTGGTCAGCATACCTAATTCTTGCCTTCTATCTACCTTATTATCTGCTACCTTACCTTAGTTATGTCCCCTAGTTTAAACCCAAACCCACTTTTGATTTCTTGTCATCATTATTATTGCATATTTACAAACAAAAGATCGGAAAATACTTTTAATTTTTCCTAAGTCTTTCATTGTCAAATTTTCTTTTTTTGAGGGCCTAACTATGAAACCAGGACCATCTATGTTGCTAGCTAGTGATGCTTTTTGACAAACTATACAAAAATTGATATGGCAGATTATTGGGATTAATCCCATGCTTTTTCTAGTTTTCAACCTTGATGCAACTTGTTTTAATTGAGCTCAACTAACAAGATTGTGCAATAATGAATCGTTATCAATGTGACAAATTTATCAACTGCATTAGAATATTAAAACTTGAAACGTAAACGCAAAGTTAGATACGTAAGTTGAAAAAAAAAAAAAAGTACGTAGTAAATAGTAATGTCAATATGTACTAGAGGCTTAAATTATTTTACTTTTAACTTGCAAAAAATAACCAATACAAAAATTTGATATTAACTATGGAATATCAATTTTACCTTAATTATTTGTATTTTGGCAGGAGAGTTATGATTTTTTTATTTTGAATGAATGTAGGCTGTGGCCACGGTTGGATTAAGCCCTACTAGTAAAATTTATGTGCACAACCAACTAGTATTAAACAAATTAATAAAATTAAAAGATTAGGAGGAGAGAGACCCCTCAACTTACTAATGAATGTTTGCGTGACATAGTAACTACAAAGTTTTAAGTTTGAATTTTTTGTAGGAGCTATTTTGCCCTTCTCGATTTGAACCGGTCAATTATGGACAATCTATAGACTGATTTACCTCTGTGGTCATTTGGCGATTGGGTCAGCTATGTGCAACCTAAGCCGATTTACCTCTTTGTGGTTATTTGCCGACTGAGATCTCAAAGTGGGCTTCATCGAGAACACACATTCTGGTAGTGATTGCGTGTGACACATTCTCATATTTCTGAAGTGATTAGAAAGAACATTTCTAATCTCAAAATTTTTAGCCGCTATTCGTGAAACAGTTTCCAACTGAAAATCCTAGCTTAGCTTGATTTCTGATCACTTTTGGATAGTAAAGGTGATGAGTTTTCCAACTATATTTCCTCCCTAATGTGATTATATTCTTAGTACTAAACCCCTTTTTATTAACATGATTTAATAATGTATAGTAATTCCTCCATGCATGTTTAACCAAATATATTTGTCCTCTCCTTTCTCAACCAAATTAGTTGCATGCATTTGGAGCTCCAACTAACAAGGCTGCCCTTAATTGGACCTGTCTTTAGGACCACCCATAAAGCCATACACAAAAACAGAAACAAGTGTGGAGCTCAGTGTTTACCATGTGAACATATTTTGATGCCCTTTCATTGCTTAACATGCCTCCCCTTTTCTTTTTCTTTTAATTTTTTTCCATAAGTTATTTTCTTTCTTTTTCCAAAGAGGTATTCGTCGAGAATAATAAAGTTCAACAGCCGAAAAAAAAAAAAAAAAAAACAACATTATTCTGATCTCCACTTGCAAAAATGCATTGGTCTCTCTCATCTCTCCCCACTTTGCCCCCTTTCTAATCCATTCTTTTCCCCATCTTTGGTCAATCTCCTCCTCCAATCTGACTTTATTTGACCAACAACGTTAATGCCCCCAAAAGAAAAGGTGAACAACTAGTGCACCACATTGTAGAGAAACATAATCATCATCAATGACTTCGGATCCCTTCTACTATATAGCTAGCTAGGTACCAAGTTTAATGTGCTTTGGAATTCTCATATGGGTTCTTCACTTCCATGTTTAATTTATAAGGTTTTAAGTCAATAATAATCGTGTAGTTAGTTTGACTTTTATATGTTTATAATATTATTGTCTTACAAAAATTTGAACCCAAATTAAAGGGTTATCACCACGTACTCATATTTTAAAAACCGATGAATAAAATAAATCGTGAAATATGCATTAGTGTTACTGACCTATAACCCTCAAATAAACTAGAGCATTAGGTCAAATATGACAATTAGGCTCATTAAGCAAGACTAAAGCCTAATATTTCATCAATTATCAAATTAAAAATATATAGACTCAACTATAAGTTATTGAATCCCTTGTTTTATCGAAATTAGTATTTACTTCATTATATACACGTCTAATATATTATACACGCATTTGATGTTACACTTTATGATTTTAAACATTAGATTACAATTTACAATATATCTTAAAAATAATAAATAAAGGTATCATGCAACAACACATATATTCTTAGGTGTCCCACATTTTGTGTGATATATATAATCAAAATTAAAGTCCCATGTAAAATGAAGAATCTAGGATGATTTGGTCGGGAGGCAACTTAAAGATTTACCCATTCAAATGACAGCCAAAAGAGAAGGCATCATCATACCACATGTAGAGGAAGAAGATTTAACTCTAAAGAGATCATCTTTAATTTCCAAAATTTCTAAAGTTTAAGGCTACAAATCTAATATTTTAAAATTAATTTAAAGATAAAAAAAAATAATTAATTCCTTCCTCTATACAAAACATTGCCAATGGAAAATGACAAATTGAATATTCCGCCCAAAATTTTTCTTATTTCCGTTTCATAATTCTTAGTTCTTACCCCCTTTTATAAAGGACTCATGTGCCGTTACCGTCACCGTCATTGTCGATCTTCCGTTACCATTGTCCATTGAGTTACATCGGCGCCATGCCGTTTTCAATCCCGATTTCCTCGCCGTTTCCGTTAACCATAACGTTCGCCGCCGGCTCCTGGGCTGCCGGAATTTCCAGTGCGGCGTCGGGCCACCGCTCCGCCGGCACACATTCCGACTTGTGGACTGATCTCCAATGCATCGCCTGGCAAGCGCGTGAGCAATAATTAACGGAGCCGCAAACGGAGCAGCGACGGAACTCGTGCCTACGCAATTCGGGTCGCCCGCAACCCGCGTTGGAGCAAAGACGGAGCCCCGGACCCGGAACCCCGCCCTTAGCTGTAAACCAATCCGTTAGGAATTTATTAGCCGGGTGGGGCTCCGGAGACGGGACGTTACACCCGAAATCGCTCAGTAACGGACAGCTCGTCCCGCCGCCCATGTGGTGCTGGAGCGGGTTCCACGCCACCCACGACCCGCCGTGGAGGACGGCCGCCGGCGTCGTCGCCAGCACGTTAGCCACTTCCCGGACGTTGGCTTGGACCAGAAACCGCCGCCCCTCCGGCACGTTCCGCTTCACGCCGTAGCCGTCCTGGAAACAGTGCCCCAGCTCCCGCAGCGCGTCGACGTGGCCGACCGAAGCCGCGCGTGCGCAAAGCGCGACTCCGGCTCGCAGGTCCTTATCCGTCTTCGACCCGCCGCTGCCATTGAACTGCATAACCGCCAGCGAGTACAGCGCCGGCGCGTGCGATTTAATCGCCGCCTTTGCCATAAACGAAGCGCCGCTTCCCCGGTTCCGGTAACAGTAGAACCGAATCTGCGTCCAAAAAAAAACCAAATAATCTCAGTATTTAAATCTCTTTGCAAGCATGCAAAATACACACACACACACACACACACATATATATATATATACAGACCATGCCGAGAATGTAGCAAGCTTCAAAGTTTCCGGCATCGGCACAAAGCTTCAGGAACCGGTGAGCCGACTCCGACCAGTTCTGAGCTTTCACGGCTAACATTTTCCGGGAAGCCGCCGACAACACCAGCGGGTTGAACCCTAACCCGTTTAGCCTCTTACATCTACAATCAAATTCCAAACCCCAAAAATCAATAATAAAACTAAAGAAATAATCTTTTTGAATAATAAAATTTATATTCAAGAACCATACGTGATCAAAACCGTAATAAAATCCGCTGGGCAATCGGCATTAGAACTGAGTTTTGAGAGAATAGAGAGTACGATATCGTCAGGCAAAGAATCAAAGTAGTCTACTTTCCCGACATCATCAGTCGACAACTTCGGTTTTTTCCGACCACTACTACGCTCTTCGCCGCCGCCGCCGCCGCCGCCTGCGGCGGCGGCGGCACGACTTTTCCTTCTCTTGAACACTCTTCTCTCTTCAGACAAATCCATTTCCGAAAACGACAATCCCCTTCGCGTTTTCATCTCTCTCTCTCTCTCTCTCTGTATTATACTGACTGGGTTTCTGCTCCAAAGAGATACAGAAGAAGCGGAAGGGTTTATATAAGTAGGGAAGAGGGAGGAGGAAAGTACGAAAATGCCCCGATTCGTTGTCCCGTTTTAACGTCTAAGTTCGGTCAAACTGCGTTGACCAGATCCCCACGGCCGTCGACGACCACTGTACTGTGACCTTATACTATACGACATCGTACAAAAGCAAGATACGATGTTTTGTGTTTTGGGGGTGTTAATGTACGGTCAAAGGAGGTGATTCATCACTGACATGGGCTTCAGTTACAAAAGGTTTGTTTGTACGTGGTGGTGGATATATTGGATTTTGAGCATAACGTTTCCTTGACTTTCTTGCCCCTTCTCGTCGATTCATTAATTAATCATTAATCATTACTAAACTACAAGTTTAGGGTAAATGTGTTTTATGCGTTTAATTTTTTAATATATATTTTGGTTTATTAGGAAAAAAAAAAGTCACAAAATGAATTATATAGTCTTTTGACCCCAAAATATAAAAGGCAAATATTTGTGTGGGACCATTTTACGAGTCTCAATTAGTTAGACGGGTGGACTATTTGATTAATGCTATAAAAGATTTGACACATTAATTATATTTTTGATTCGTCTCACGGATTGAGATTCGTGCGACGATCCCACACAAGTGTTACCAAATATGAAAAGATTTCTATAAAATATTATTATATCTTGGAGTATATTTTTGCAATATTTCATTCCTTACATAATTTTTATTTGTATTTCTCTAGTTTAAATTTGTAAATCTAATAAATCGTTAATATTTTTTAATCAAATAAAAGGAATAATCTAGGAAAGGAATAAGAACTCATCGTAGCCGTTCATCTGTTCAAATCTAACGAATTAGAAATACTATTTAAAAAAAAATAAAGTGGTGACATTTTTGTAAATAATTGAATTTTGAAATGTAAGTAAATTGTGTCAAAAGTGCAAGTAACAATTTCATAGATTGCATCTAAGAGCATCATTATCAGTTGGGGAGAATAGGAGGAGAATATAAGAGTGATTATGAAAGAGAAGGTGGGAGGGGAGAGAAAAAAGGAAGAAAAAAAATGAAAATTGAATTTAAAAAAATTAATACTTTAATTACTGTCAGGTGCGCTTCTCGGTGCGCCCGCGTGCAGTGCACGCGCCCGCTGGGTGCAATGGTGACAGTCATGCATGGCTGTCACGCATGGGCAAAAAAAAATGTGGGCCCCACATTTCAGAATCCTCTCCACATTTGCAGAAGGTCCCCATTTTTCTCTTTATTACTTCTCTCTCTTTCACATGGCTTTGATTTCTGACATTATTCTCATATTATAAACTGATGGGGTTGCTCTAAGTGCAAGCAAAATGTATTAAAAGACGAGCTCCTAACGTTATCATTAGTTACACGAAACGTTATCATTAAGTGCATCAATGTCAAAGACGTTATCATTAGGTGCACCAATGTAAAAAAAAAAAAAAAAAAAAAAAAAAAAAAAAAAAAAAGGTAAATTACATGCACTATTAAGGGATTTTACTTGTACAATTCACTTGCACACTCACACCAGTTACATTTTTAACATATGTTACTTGTACCAAAGTTCGAATTATTAACAAAAATATCCTCATGTTTTTTTTTTTTTTTTAATTACACATGATCCATTAGATATGGACAAGTGGATGACTGCATTGGTTCTCATTCCTCTCATTGGCATCTGTTCTCACAGGAGTGTGCATGAGAACCAATATGGTGCATTAAAAAGCACATATCTCTGAATGGTATTAGTTGGGGGATTCAAAGTTCACGTGTGCATATCCTATGTTTGCACACAACACATGTTTAATATGCACACGCAAATTTTGAATTTCCAATTAGACACAACACATTCTTAAAATGCACACGCGAATTTTGAATCCCCAAATTGCACACAACACGTGCCCATATGTACATGTGAATTTTGAATCCCCCAATTAATTTCATCCATATATCTATTTTTTTTAATGTATCATATTGATTCTCATGTACTCATGGGTAGATCACTTTTTATATATATATATATATATATATATATATATATAACATATCATAGTAATTTCAAAATTAAAATAAAATGACCTAAAAAAGTGATTGATTGGGTGTAATATAATCCTTGTAACTAAAGATCACATTTTATTTTATTTTTTTATTATTTTACCAATTAAATGTGTCACAGAAAGTCTACAAATAGCGATGTTAGAGATTTGCTTCTAACGATATGGTAAAGAACTTGTTTTTAGCGATATGATAAGACTTATCTTTTAGCGGCAAGATAAATATTCAATCCATGTTATAAGCATTGGAGTTTTGAATTTAGAATGAGATCTTTATGAGTAAAATTGTAACTGAATGATGAACTTATTAGGTCACAAATATAGTCGGAGGAAATTAAAAATTTTGGATTATTAATTATAAGGTGAATAATTAGGAAGATTGTGAGTTCAAGTCTCAGTGGAGTCGTTATTAGCTCTTTGTGTTTCAGTAGGTTGAGAAAGTATATGAACAAATACTACATTGTAATAGAGCTAGTAGCATTCAAAAAAAATTATAAGGTGAATAAAATAACCGTGAAGCAATAAAAGATGGGTAGGGAATAGGGAAACAGCGCACTAGCTTAGCTTGTACCATCTCGATGATTGCTATGAATTAAAGTCTTCCATTTACCAACAAAACATAAATAAATAAATAAACCATCGAAATGGTTGTATGTGACAGCCTCGATTGAGTCGATTCATTGCAAAATTTTCCATTTTCCAACGTTTCGTAGTCGTTAATTAATACTCAATTTTAGTACTGTTAACGTCACAGTAACCTAGTTACCAAGTAGTCTCCTAGCCTCTCCAAGTAGATTTCCATCTTAGAATATCTCTTATGATTTTAGAAATATTCCAAAATCTCAATTAATTTTGGTGTTTGTATATTTCACATATGATTATATTGAGTACATAATTGAAAATTGTTATTAATTAATAATATTTTAATAGTGTTAATAAGTACATAACATATGTGTTACAAATACAAGGATAATAACATCCTTAAAGTCTAGAAAATAAAGATTAATATTCGATGCACCGTTCATGTATATATATGATATATACTGGTGGTGAAGGACCGGAGAAGATGCCACATCATTAAAAAAAAATTTAATATTAATCGGGTCCTTTTTTGTAAAATATATTTCTACTTTCCTAATTAAGCATATTTATTACTTAATTATTATCTATCTAATTTTGATTGCATTTTTAATTATTAGATTTATTAATTAAATTGACAAATCGTAATTATTATATTAAATATATCTTAATCACACGGTAAATGAACTAATGAAGTATATATAAATTGTTCCCAAACATTAATCACTCTGCTACAATGCCGGCTTGTAATTTTTTTTAAAAAAATTTTATTTAAGTACTAAACGATTTGGAAATAAAACACTAATACAACTCTTTTAATTTTTATTAATATGTGTTTTTATTTTATTTATTTAGTTAAACATTTAAAATAATTAATCTAGGAACATTATAACGTATTTTTAAAATAATTTTATAACGTATTTATTTTAAAAACTTCCCAATGGAATAACCCCATCATACTTAATATAACACCCCAAGAAAATATATAATTGTATCTAGTGTTAGGAAAAAAAAAAAAGAAGCATGGATTCTAATTGACATTATATACTTTTATATCATAATAATCTAAGGTATATATATGACAGTATTTTATAAAGTCAAAGATATGATATTATTTCCTATATATTCTAATGTGACAATTAAATAGCAATATCGGGAAATATTTTAATTTATTTATTCAATCAATAAAAGATGTCCGAACTAAAAGTACAAATAATATTATTTTACAAAAATATATTTACGTGAATTTTTTTGATTGTCCTTTGTATAAGGGAAGAAGGATGAGCTGGAGGTGACGTGGATGTCACGAAGTGAGGTGCCGTCTAATGTTCAACCCCGCCGACAATCAACCTATTACCTACGACTCCTACGAGGGATAAATAAAAGAAAGGAAAAAAGAAAAAAAGAAAATTAGATTCCTCTTTTCATTTTCAGAAACCTTTAAATTTAATAATGACACTATATTCTTATTAGATTATATAAAATCAAAATAAAAGGCCAAAATTATGATAATTTAATTAAATATCATATAAACATCGTTAATAAAATTATTTGATAAAAGACACTCCGCTAATCTCATGTTACAGGTACTACTTGCTAGTTTATTTATAATCAAAATAGAAGAAAGAAAATCCAATTTTGACTGAAATATTAAGAATGAGTAAATAAACCTTTTAATAAGTTTGAGACAATTAATTACTGAATTGTTAATACAACAGCTGTAAAGTCAATAAATAGACTCTTTTAAATGTGTAACATGTTCTTTTTTAGTCTGTCAAGCACAGTAACTAATCTGTTCACTAGGTGCGACAGCTGACCTAGAGATTTAAGTTAACTCTATACTCAAAGTCAATGATCGAATAATTGACGTTAGGTTAAAAATAGATGAGTCTCTTCCACTCAACTACATCTCAGATTCTAGATGCTCAACATGTTAATGACTTTGAAAAGGACTTAACTTTTATCGAGATACGACATATGAGTAAATCAAATGGGTTCTACTATTTTTTTTTTCTGGGTATACCCAGGATTTCCACCGTCGAACACAGTGATTAATTCCCTCGCTGAATTGTAGACACCTCTTTTGGGTGGGATAATTGGCCTAGAAAAAATGAGTTATACTATATATACTCTCAAATTCTACCCCCTAAAATAACAAACAAGGATTCATTATTTTCATCATATGAATACATAAAAAAGTGTCTACATTAAAAATATGTGAAATGGAGTAAAAGTTAGGAATATAAAATGAGAGTATTTTCCAAATCAAATGCATCCCTTTGATCAGAAATTACGTGCAGCGTCAAAAACGTCCTGCCTAGGCCCCGATTAGGGTCTTATCAGTCAATTCTGAGTCAAATA